CCTGCCTCAGCCTCCCAGAGTGCTAGGATTACAAGCGTGAGCCACCGCGCCTGGCAAGAATTGACATTTATTGAGCAATTTATAATGTGCCCGGGTCTGTGCTAGGCACTCGTGTACTTACTGTCTCCTTTGTCCAGCCCAGAGGAGGCAGATGCTGTTTCCCCAGTTTGTAGCCAAGACCACAGAGACAATAAGAGGCCAAGCTGGCCTTGGAGCTCAGGCCTGCCCCTCTCCTCTGTCTCTCCTTGTTCTCTACCAAACAGCCTCCCCTTAAGCCAAAGTCAGCCAGTACGTAGCTCTCAGAATTCCCCTTAGAGGCCTCCTGGGATCCACAGCAGGCCGGGAATCTCTTGGAAAGCAGGATGCAGGGGCAGGATTGCTCCCTTGGAAAAATCCAAGCATTGGAGACAGCTACAGCGGACCTTGTATAGTCTCACTGGTGTGGGACTCGTGCTGATTGGGTAGGGGGTGCCCAGCCGTATCCACTGACAACTGAAGACTTGGGGAAGCAGACGTTGCCACGAGAAAAGCCTGAGTAGCAGATGCCTCTGCCACTGGGCTGGTGTAGGAAGTGACCAGCCTGGCATTTGGGGCTGTACCCCGCTGGGTTCATGGCATGCTGAAGAGGCAGGGTCCCTGGAGGACCAGCCCTCCGGGGGTTGGAAGTCAGAGAGGCCTGCCCCGGTTTGAATCATAGCTTGGCCACTTCCTGGCTGTGTGACCTTAGGTAAGATTTTTACCTTCTCTGAGCCTTAGTTTATCATCTGTTAAATGGGTTTAGCAATACCCACCTGGTAGTCATAATGAGGTCATATTTGTATAGTGCCTAGCACTGTCCCTGGCATGGAGTGGTCACATACACCCCCGCACTTCTGCTAAGTGGGACCACTAAGAGACCCATTTGGGAGCCCTAGAAAGTTTGTGCTATCTGGGCCCTGCGGTCCCCAGGGCCCTAGGGACCATTTATTCCGTGTACACGTATGCAAGCATTTCCAGCACACACCGCCACACACTGGGTGGGAACCGGGAGACACAGGATATGGAACCTCTCAAGGGCCTCGAGCAGGACAGCCTAACAAGCTCCCATGTCAGGAGCCACCAGCCTCCAGCTGGGCTCTGCCAGGTCTCTTAGCCATAAACGTTCCAGGCAGAAGTGTAGCCATTGGCCCCGAGGTAGTGGGGGCCTGAGGCAGTCGCCATTCAGCCTTTCTGGAAGGAGCTTTGTAGCCCGGCACCTGTGGCTGGAGTTCAGATGTTACCAGAGGATTTGGGTTTTCTTTTTCAAAAGAAGAGAAAAGAAAGAGCAGAAGAAAATCATGCCAGTGTCTCGTGGACTAAGGGGACTGGGTTGGGGCTTGCCGGGGGAGGCAGGCTGCGGTCAGCCTGCATATGAAGCGCTTTATAAGCTCTGTATTTATTATTTCTTGCTCACCATTAAAATCAAATGTACTCGGTGCTTTTGTATTCAATACACATTTAACCCTGCCGACTTAGATTTCTCAGGTTTTAAATCCAGTGGGGAATTGGCTGGCTTCCCAACTTCCCCTCCAGTCCCCTTGAACGGCGCTGGAAATCCCTGTTTAGCACTCTCTCCCCCAGCACTGCCGGGATCCTAGCACTGGTGGGGCCAGTCCCTGTGGCGTGTGCGTGTGGCTTTTCCCTTCACTCCCCAGCCCCCACCCTTCCCAAGCACCCCAGAAAGACGGATGTCAACGCCGAAATATGACGGGAGTTGGCGTCGTCTCGTGCTTCGGGCTTAATTAAACCATTTTGTGTGTGTCTGTGCCTGGTTGTGGTCTGCCGCCGTGTGTGTGTGATTCACACATGTGCCTTCACCTCTTGTGCATGCCTCTGTGAGTGCATGCTTGTGAGACGGTGTGTACCCTGGAGTCTCGAGGCCTCAGGGTGTCTCTGGTTGTCGTGTGTGTGAGACACTTTCGTGTCTGGCTTTGTCCCCGACAGTCAGGTGTGTGTGACTCTGGTCTGTAACCGTGCCGGGGACTGACCGTCCCGGCGTGCTGTGTCTTTCTCCCCCTCCCCCGCCCGCCGGCTCCGCTGCCCGCCCCTCCCCCCCGCTCTGTCTGTTTTATCATCCCTAATGAAGCAGTCTCCTCCATCGATCCTACTGATTGCCAACCCATTCCTTTTGTTTGTTGGCGCTGAGCCATTCAGCGGCACTCTGACAGCTCAGCTCGTCTAATTAGCTCTGTTGTTCTTTTTCCCCATGTTTCACCACGTTGCAAGTTCAGTTGAAGTTGCCACAAACTTAATCCCCCCATTTCAGCCACAAGTTCACATTCTTAACCCGCCTTTATTGTAGCAAGGAGCAGCCCTGTGCAAGGACCGGCTGGCAGGCCTTGCAGTCTGACCTTTCCCAAAAGCCCTGTCCCAGGGCCCCCGCAGGGCAGGGGCAGAGCTGCCCCTTCACCCCACCCGCGCTCCTGCCTTGTGTGAGAAGTCGGGGGACCATTCTAGCCAGATGACCTGTTCACTGGCTCCAGAGGAGTCCTGCCCTGGCTGGGGAAACCAGAGTAAAAATGAGTGGGCGACATATCCGTTCGTTTATGCAGCAAATGTTGACCGAATACTTGCCGTGTGGCAGGCACAGTTCTAAGAACAATGATAATAAGAGCGACATCATTACACGCTCCTTAGACTCCAAGCAGCAACATCCATTTGATTCTAAAAATCTTGCCCAGTGACCGATAGATACCAGGCACTATGCAGGATGCTAGGCAAGGATCAGAGAATCCTAAAACTCATCTTCTAATTCAGACACCGTGTCCCCCTCATCTTTTGTTGTTGATAAGGAGGGGACATCCAGGTCACGGAGAAGCAGGATGAGCATTTGAGCCATCACTATGTACCAGGCCCCATGCTGGGGCTTCCCCGCATCTGGTCGCTGAATCTTCACAATAGCCCCACAGAAGACGACAGCAAGTTTGGTGGAACGCATTTGGCTTGTACCACACCTCTGCTTCGCCAAACAAGGCTGAGATCAGACTGGCCACTCCACAGGAAAACTTTGGTTAGATCAGACGTGTGCAGACCTGAGCGCTTGACGAGACTCTATAAAGACTTGGCTTTCATGCGGCCAGCTTCTATAATCCGTGTTCCTAAGCCATTGTGCTGTGTCGCCCACAAATTGCCGAGGGTGGGAGCAGGGATGTTCAGAGAAAAGGGCAGGCAGGAAGTGGAGTGTGCGCCTGCTCTCCTTCCCCGTCTTGTCCTCAAAACTGAGCAATTGTGGCATCTCATCCGCAGAGAAATGTTCAGAACCTGTGCCGAGATGCCCAGTCGTTTTTCTTGGCAGTGAAATGCAAACGTAGACTTTCTTGGCTTAGCTCAGTCACAACTTGTGTGTCTTAGGCATTGGAGATGTGCAAAGATCACCATGCCAGATTTAAAGCCATGGAATGTCGATTGGACCAAATGAGTATCCTTCTAAGGGCACCTAGACATTCTCAGCCCATCACGGGCTCTGGTGGGGCAGGGGGTGTCTTTCTCTGCAGGCCCTCGTCTTGGCTTTCTGAGGTGGCAGGTCAGAAAAACACATCTTGTCACTGCAGCACCAGCTGTGGGATTAGAAACCTCTACCCTTCCTGACATGCACACCGCCAGCCCTCCAGCCAGGTCCCTGCGGTGAGTGTAGCCACTCGAGGTGTGCAGCATCCCGGCTGGGCCTGCTGGGAGGACGAGCACAGGGACGCCCTGGGAAGCAGAACAGTGATCGGTCCTGGCACTCTCTAATGCCTCTCATATTTAGAGAAGAAAATAAGCATCCTATGATTCAGTTGTAAAAAGAGCAAACTAAGCATGTGTACCCTAAAAACAAGTCCTAGTGAAACCTTTTTGTTCTACGAAACTGGCTTCTGGGTTCCAGAGAAAGGCAAGAGGGAATCTGTCATCGATAAGGGCCTCTTTGTTCCGGTTCCTGTGTCCACATCATCTCACTCGGCCCTCGCCGCGGGCCTGCGAGGAGGCCCCCCATCTTGCAGATGAGAAAACCAAGCTCTTCAGGAAAACCTTTCTGATTGGAGTAGGCCACAGAATTCCAGTTAGGCTATCTATCTGCTGCAAATTAAATGGTGTTTTTTCCACTGAAAAGCCCTAAATGTTTCTTTTGCAGCCACTTATCCAAATCTTCAGAATGTTCCTGTATGGCTTTTCCAACTCACTCCTTCTTGGTGATTTCCCCCTGTGCCCCTCCTAGGTGCGCCCGCCCCGTCCGCACGTTGTGAAGAGACCGAAGAGCAACATCACAGTGGAAGGGCGGCGGACATCGATCTCGAGCCCCGAGCAGTGAGTACCCCATTGCTGCTCTCCTCTGTGTCCGCAAGAACCCAGCGGCACTAAGTGTGCAGCCCTGGCCTTTGAGAGGCTTCCCCGGGGCGCCAAGCAGGTGTTTTGTGGAGCAGGGCTTGCTCTTCTGTTAGTTCCAGTTGTCGCGCCAGCGGGAGGCCCTGGAGGGCAGGGAGCACCTGGGCTGCGTTTTGAGTGGCGAGGCCCAAAGGGTACTCAGATGGGTTCAGAAGAAGGTCCCAGGCCTCTCAGGCTGAGGATGTGGAGTCAGCAGGTGAGGGTTAGGAACCTGGTCAGGGAGGCCAGCTGTCTAATAAGGGCCATCACCTTCCTAGGCCTAGTGGTGCCCGAGGTCTCTGCGGCTCAGATTTATACACAAGACTGTCCTTATCCACTGCGCCACCCCCACCAGGACCCTTTGCCCACCTGTGCCATAGCATTTATGTCACTGTGGTTTTTCTTACCTACCGCCCTCAGACCCAGAGCTCCTGCGGGACAGGTACTAGGTGTCGTGCCCACGGGACATGAGCTTAGAGTCATCTGCTGAGGAGCTGTTGGGTAGAGGAGGTGAATGAGCCAGGCAGGCAGACAAGCGGTGGCCAGAGGTGGAGCCACCTACATAGGGTGAGGCTGAAAGCTGCAGACGGTGCGACTCCAGAGCCAGCTGGGGAAGGCGGCACTGCTTCCCCTTGTCCCCTTGGTCTCTGCCCAGGCAACTCAGCAGCTACACGTTGGCTTCCTGCGATGCCTCGAAAAAGTGCATGAATTCCTCCTGCTCTAGAGTTGTTGGGAAAATCAGAAAAATTGACTCTGAAGTCCTTTTGGTAGAAAGGGGAACCCCTCGTGTCTATCTTGCTTTCAGAAACATTCTAAGGGAAGAATGTTAAGGGAAATGGCAGATCCTAGCCAGAATTTGAGCCAAAAGGAAGAAACAATTCTGAAATGTCAATCTGCGGCCTACCGCCGGTTGAGATATACTTCAGCTGTCCCGTGATTCTTTGCTTTATGATACGGGCACTGCTGAGACCACTGTGTCGTCACAGAACCAGCCTACCCGGACAGCCCTCAGACTTCGCCCAGGAAGCTCTGGGATTGCGAGCGTGTGCACCATGGGTGCTTGGTTGTGAGGAATTTGGAGGAGAGGACTCCTGAAGTTGGGTGTAGGTTTAACTTTTGCTCTGCACAATAGGATGGTGGGCACAGAGGGCTGTCCCGGCCGTGGCTGGCGTGGATGATGATTGCCCCCTTGTGGAGAGAGTGCTGCATGGCCTCAGACCCTAAAGATTTCTCTTTAAAGTTACTTCTTTAAAATTAAGCTACACCTTTCAGACACTGTACTGGGAGACAGGGTGATGGGCCTGTAGGTACCGAGAAGTAAACTCAGAATATCCTTGCATTGCACAAAAATACCCCAGACCAACAACGTTCCACATTCTGCAGAAAAGCATTATTTTTAGTGACCAAATTCCTGACTAGAGGTTGGCCTCCCCAGTCACATTTACTTACGATGTTGCTTTCCAGACCCAGCAATGGGGGTGACTCTATTACTATGCCAAAGAGCCAGTGTCCTATTTTCTTGGTTCTCACCTGAACTGTTTCAGTATCGCTTTTAGGTTTCATTTTGGAGTTTTTTGTTGTCTTTGTTTTTGTTTTTCAGTATGCCCTGTTTTAGATTTCTGTTTGGGAAATTTGGGGTTGAAATGAACCAGTGGGAGCATGGGGCCTAGTTTGGTGGGTTGGCAAACTCACAGTGACAGAAAACAAATGACAGGTTTGCCATGACCATACATCACAGCAGCTCGGGCCCCCGAGGAGATAGAGAGGTACATTTCAGGACGTCATTCCAAGGGTTTCTTTTCACATTTTGCTAACGAGGAGGAGGGCGGCCGTTCTCCCATCATGCCGGTGGCATTTCTGGTGCAAGCCGGGTGTTTTCCTGCATCTCCTCCCGTGCCTCCTCCCCACCCCCCACGGTGCTCCTCCACTTCCAAATGCCATGTCACAACAGCTCTTGGATGTGTTTTTCTCAACTGTCATCAGCTCCAGCTGGCAAGACCAACTTCTTGAAACACAGGAAGCATCCAGCGGAAAATATTTTAATAAAACAGACTCCTCATAAAATATTGTTCTGGGGGGAAGAAACGGGCTCCGCCAATCTGTCGGCATTGTGTTTCGAGACGCGAGAAGACAAGCCGGCGGGCAGGAGCCAGAGCCTAATGGGCCTTTGTTGGAGGTGATTCTGTGCTGGGCACAGGAACTCGGTGTCTGGCCCTTTAATCCGGCCTGGGTTTTCTGGAATCACAGATCTCTGTCTCCGCTGGGAATATCAAAGTGCTTCGGAAACTTGAGGGCGGCAGAAAGGGATGCAGGATCTTTGAAGTTGAAGGGAGAGATTCAGTCCTCCTGACTTCTTGCCCCAACTCTCACTGCCAATAGAACAATAAATAACTAACTTTGTGGACAGCAAGATGGAGCTGATTAAGAATAAGTTTGTCTCCTGCGACAGCCAAGCACCCTGGGATTCATCAAGGCCCAGAAGCGTTGGCCATCAGCTCTCTGGCCAGTCGATCATTGAAGTTCGTTTCTTCCTTTCCAGCTGACGTCCACCCATCCGTTGCTCCACCTGTCCATTCGTGCATCCGTTCATTCAGCAGGCATCTTTGAAAACCTACTAGGTGCAGGCTACACAGGATTTTTAAAAGAAGGCCTTACAAGGAAGTTTCCATGCTGACTCTTGTTGACTTGCATTGTCCCAGAATGAAATTTTCTTGCGTCAAATTTTCTTACTGAATTAAGCGTAGGTTTCCTAGCCCCTTAAAACCATCTGTTGGCAATTGGAAGAACACTTCAGAAAGGTTTCTGGGGAAAACTGAAAACTCTGTTTTTCAGTTAGCATTTGTTGGTTAATAGTTAATATTTCTCTTCAAAAAGTGTTAGCTACTTCCATTATCATTCAGAGCAAAGCTGGTGGAATGCCAGGGGCTTCCTTAGGGTAGAGTTAGGGGTAGGAGGATCCAGCAAGAAAGGCACTGGGTTAGAGGCCAGCCAGCAGGAAGTGCAGCTGAGCCCCTGTGACGTCTGGGCCAGCATGGTTTCCCCCACAGAGTGGGCACTCACACTCAGAAAATGTCTCTGACTGGTGTCACCCAAGGTCATCCAGTTAGAAAGTGTCAGGGCCAGGATTCAGAATTCTGCTCGATTTCATTCTCTCGATTACACTCTGCTAATCTCCTTGGGACGGGGCCCACGGGGGTCTATTGGTAGTCTAGTTTTGCCCAGATAGATAGCCCCCATGTCCTAAGAGGACTTGCCCAGCACACCACCCTTCCTCTCTGGTTCCTTGGAGGCTGGAATTGGGAACTGGACTTACTTAGTCCCTCACCACCAAAGAAGCAGTGTCTACTGTGCCTGAGTGTTTCTTCTTGGGGAAGGAAAGAAAAGTGACATTTACTGAACAGCCCTTAAGACTGTGAAAGGTAGGTGGTGGCTTTCCCATTTAACAGATGGAGAAACTGAGGCTCAGAGACTTTCAGTAACCTGCCCAAGGTCTCAGGGCCAGAAAATGGTGGGGTTGGCTGTCCGGTGACAGAGGCCTGGTCCTTTCTTCTCTACCATCCAGGCTTTTTGTTAACAACCTGAGTACGAGGACGGTGGCTGCTGCAATGGGCACAGTGAGGTTCAGAGCTCCCACCTCTTAAAGGCGGGCCCCAAGTTACTTTCCTTCTGGCTTGCAGGCAATGTCCCACCTAACTTGAATGGCATCAAGAGCCAGTAGCAAGCTCTGAAAGGCACTACTATGATCAGTGTTGCCTGGCCCCCTCAGGACCGCACACTAAGGCCAAAACAGGGGTGACCACGCTGACCCCAGGGACTTCTCTTGCCAGGCAGCCCGTCATTCATTCCCTACTGGGAAGTGACCATAGAGCCCAGGGGCAGCAGTCCTCACAGAGTTACTGAGAGTGTGGAGGGAGATAATTATATGCATCTGCCACCTACTCAATCTTCACAACCCAGACGTAGGGCTGTCTTCTGAGTCTTAACGGTTCAGGGGCTTGCAGTGGTGGATCTGAGAGGGGCCCTGTCCTGACCACCTGCAGAGCAGAGCTCTCTTGACCACACACCTTGTCTCCTAATGGGCGAGTCAGACACCTTCCAGTCACATGAGGGTCTTGCCGGGCTGCACCCTGGTTATTTGAAGTTTCACTGTACTGAGTATGAACGGTCCAGATTCAGCCACCAGGGCCCACGAGCTGCTGCCCTGCTGCCTCTCTGGCCAGATCCGTGCAAAATCTGCTCTGTTCTTTTCAAGTAATTTTTTGTTTGTTTGTAAAAGTAACCCAATAGCTTTATAGACAATCTGGAAGTTGGGGAAAAGAGACAAGTTCATTCTGAATCCCACTATAATTCAGCTACTTGTTAGCATTTCTATAGATTCCCGTCCCGTCTTTTTCCTGTATCTGTTTTTCAGAGCTGCAACTCCTTGCACTATCCCATTATATGGACTTGTTCCATGTGTCTCTGTAACCCCTGTTGTCCCGTGACGACAGAAGATCCCATTGCGTACACGTTTGTGGACTACGTAACCGTGCCCCTCACATTAGATCTTTAGATTGTTTCCAGGTTTTCATTAATATGAGAAATGTCAGGGTAAATATCCTTGTTCTCTAAGCTTTAGTTCATTTTATGTCATTGTAAGAAATAGCATTATAACAACTAACATTAACTGAGAACTCTGTACTAAGCACTACATGTCACTTAATCCTCACAAGAAATATCTAGAGGTAGCCATTACGAGCTCTATTTTATGGAAGTAGCTGAGACTCCAAGAGCTTGTCACTGCCCTTGGTCACACAGCTAGTTAGTAGCAGAGCTGAGCTTCAAACATGTCTCTATAACAGCGAAAGCCTATACCCTCAACCAGTTACATAGGAATATTTCTGCTCCATACTGCTAAAGAACTTTGTAAAAGAGTTGTACCACCTTATAGTCCCACCAGAACT